TGGCCGGCTTCGTAGAGAAGGTCTCCCAATTCTCTGGCTTGACGTCGTCCAGCAGGCCAATGCTCTCCGCCAAGCGGCACAAGCCCTCCAGCTTCTTCTCCTGCTTCACCAAAGTTGCCTCGAGGAACACGACGGTCGCCAAGTAGCCGTGGATAGCAAGGACGACTTCACCGGACCTTCGTCCAGAGGACATCGCGAAGCCGTCGCGGACAGCGATAATTCTCATGTCCGGGGTGCGTTGAACTCGCTCCTTCAGCTCCTGCCAGGCACCTTGTATTTCCGACATGTCCTTGCACAGGACCTCGCAGTAGAGGACATCCACGTCGGCTCCTGAGCTGGGCTGCATCTGCACATGACGCCCCTTTATCTCATGATGCTTGGATGCACTCAGTTGCATGCGCATTTGCACGCCAGTCCGTCCCGGTAATGAAGAAACTTGATCAAGAATCAAGAACGCCGCAGCAACATCCGAGCCAAGTGTCCCGCAGCATGCTGTGAGAACTCCGTCAGCATCTTGAGCTTTGCTTCGACTGAGGCCGTGACGACGAACGCAGCCAGGGGGTCACAAACGTCTCTCCTTTTTTCAGAGCACAGCTCCCCAACTTGGCAACGCGCTCGTGACAGATCCCTAAGCCTAGGTGTGCATGAGGTTCGTGGCAATGGATGGAACAAGATGCGTATTCAGAAACTATCACGACATTTCTGCCAATATTCAGAGCTCACTGGCCATCTCCAAGCAGTCAAACACGCCGAGTCTCTGAAATCTCTGCAGATGTCGCCTGGCTTCCACATAGTTGCTCCGCCTTTGCTCAGCATGTTATCTCGTAGTTTCAGGGGCCGGTCCGGCCCTTTCTCAGTAAATGAGAGCGGGTTATTCTCAAGGATCCGTACTCGCACTGATCACTAAGAACCTGTGAATTTCTTCAAACACTGTTTCGATTTTGCTTCACAATACCTCACGAATGCCTCACGATGTGAAAGTGGAGGGGAAAGTGAGTCGATGCGTGCATCTGCATGTATTGGAGTCAAAGGCTCACATCTGCGATTGCTGCATCTTGTCGCAGGCCATCAAGAGACGCGGAGACATCTTCATCACTCTGGAAAATGGTCATGATTGCCGTGCTTGGCGCAGCTTGCAGCACCTTAAAGCAGAGTTACAGAGATACCGAGATACCCCGGACCCTAGAAAACCTAATGCCCTTGATCCACAAACCCTGTAAACCCCGACCCGAGAAACTCTGGTCTCGTGCATTGAGCACTGGGAAGCCGGCCTGCAGGTAGCATGCTTCGGTCGTCAACGAAAGCCGGTAGACCATCCGTCGTATCGAATCAAAGCGAGCAGCAGCATACCCGAAGTTTCCAATGAGAAGCAGCAGCGAAAGCGCCAAGACCGCCGTCACGGAGCTGCCAGTGGCCTCGGCGTGGCGTCTGAGAAGGGAAGCAGAAACAATGGGCAGCTGCGACCGCTTCTGCCCCAGCCTCAGCGAAGCTCAGGCACATCACCGGATACCTTGGAACTAAGGGGCCAAAGCCATGGCAAATCAAAGACAACACTCATCAACACCCTCTCTGCCAAACCTGGCCCCGCCGAAGTGCAAGGAGAGGAGAATCACGAACAGAGTGACTCTGTTCTTGATCTCCATGGACGCCTGCAGAAGGACGCAAAGACTGCCTAAACGTCCTAGACTGCCTAGACTCTAACTTGCCTAAACCCCAAACCCCAAACTGCCTTTATGCCTTGATCCTCAGCTGCCTATACGGATTATTAGGCACCTAATCTATCAGCCCAACATGAGGAGACGAGGACGCCTGCAGGACGAAGAGAAACGCAAGCTCTGCCCGTGGCCGCACCTCAGCAAAAGCATTAATTGCAACGGGCTGCAGACTGCCCAGCCCCTACAAAAGCTCAAAGCCCCGACAAGCAAGCATCTCTATGCAGTATCTACCTCGAGCTTGCACATACCTTTTATGGGAGTTCTCTAAATTCTTCTGTTCTTTTTGTGGGCGGGGAGGGGAAGGGGGGTGCATAGTATTGGGCATATATGCAGGGACCTCAATTTTGAGAAGGCCATCTTCTCTATCCCAAGACCAAGAGCATACATTCTGGAGTTTAAGGTTTCGGTGTTTCAGGCTTGTAGGGTTAAGGAGTTCGGTTGTGTAAGGGGCTGTAAAGATTAAAACGGTTTTGCGAAGTTCCAGAGCTCATCTTGGTAAAGCTCCATGGATTGAGAAGACGACTCCAAAGCATCCTTTAGGAATGGCTAGAAGATTCAATGACAGCTGTGACCTCTTAAAGCTCGAGCCTAAAGCCCTCAATCATCTCTAAAGCTTTATAGATTAATCTCAATATCTGAAGACTATGGAGCATGGAAAAAGAGCCGGAGGACCAGCACATGCCAAGGGGCGAAGTGAAGAAAGGAGGTAGCATGCCAAACAAAGCGGTGCCAGCGATGTCGGTCGCAACAGCCGTGTGCATTGTCGTGCAGCTCCTGACAGCACTGCCATGCACTGCCCTACATCCGCCCTCCACACGACAAAACACTGGCCTGCATTCCGAACCCACGACACCACAAGCAGCCTCGCCTGACAGCCTGGCTTGCTGCAGGGATAGGGCGCGCAGAAGGAGTCCACATCGGAGGCCCACTCGGGGCCGCCATGAACCTAGCGGGAGGGACAAGGCACGGCGTCCTTCTCTTGGGGGTGAAAGCTTCACGCCGGTGGCGCCGGTGGCCTGGCTGCCCGCGCATCCCGCGCCCTGAACTTTCAGGTCGTTGTGCTGAGAATGCTGGGAGCTTCCCAGCAGGACCGGCAGCATCGGCGAGGGCGGCTGTGGAGGGTCCTCGGCGTCCTTGCCGTGCACAGGTGCAACAAAAGACCCTAGAGCAGCTCAAGTTCTCGATGAACGCATGCCCGCCAAGGCGGGGAGGGCTGAACGCTTTGCTCAGATAGCTCCGCAACAGCTGCAGGTCCTCCACGTTGACGTGCCACCGCTGCCCAGGTGACGACCAAAGACGCCGGCACCAGCTGAGCTTCTCAAGAGATGCCCTTTGTGCAGAGAGAGCCGGGGCATCCAACAAAAAAACAGCTCGCACAGAGCAGGAGATTCTGCATGCGCAGTGGGCTCACACGGCTGATGCTTTGCTAGGTTTAGGGTTTGGGCCTGGACGAGTTTAGCGTTCCAGCTGACAAGGCGCAAATCCTCCTTGGCAGCAAGGGCGAGGTTAGGGCATCGGTTGACCGACAAAGCCAAGGCGTCCAAGCGCTCCTGAAAAGCGTTTTCACATCCTAGAAGTACCCCGAAAGCTGACCCCAAAGCTCGTCATGTTTCCAGAACCCTAGAACCTAAAATCCCGAGCGTCAAGCTGGAGCGATCTGACGGGAGAAAACCAACTTTGAGCAGCAATCCCCATATTGTCTATAAATAAAGATAAGAGTGAACGCAAGAATCTGGGGCCGCAAAAGACGGGCTCAGGGTAGGCCGCGGCTTGCCGGCTAGGATTCCACAACCCGATCTTGAGGGTTCAGGGCCAACACGGAGAAGGGGAGGGGAGTGGAACCTCTCAGGGGCTCAAGCCTCACACGAGTCAACTTTCCTGTCCTCAAGCCAAAGAGGCGTCCGTAGGTGCACAAGTTAGGAAAAAGCAACCTAGACCATCCTGAAACTATACAAGGATACGAAAATCATATTCTTGGCAGGCTAATGTCGAAGGGCCCGAAGTGCTCATCAAGGGCTATACGCAACATGGCAAGTGTTGTTTAGGCCTTCAGTCTTGGGACCCAGGGCGTTCCAGTGCTGAAGGCGCATGATACTATGTGGAGTGTAACTGTTTTGGGGGTTTTGCGTTTCGGGTTCCAGATCATTTCGACTATCGAATCCAGGGAAATCCCTGGCGGCGCTCCTTCTGACCTGGGGAACCCCTGGCGTCGCGGATCTGAGAGCCAAGGGGGCCGATGTCCGAAAGCAGGGGCAGGTTGGAGAACCAGAGCTCCAGGGACTCGAGCGAGAGTGGCCGAAGCAATGCCGGCAAGCCCTCAGTACTTCGAAGGCCCGGAGAGCCCGCGAAGCGCATGGCCAAAGACTTCAACGACCTCCGCTGGCAGACGGCTCTTTGATTAGAGGCCAAGGCCCTTCAGTAGGCCTGAAACCCTTACAAATGCCCCCAAGTAAGCGGTCCAACTAAAGTAGCCCTAAGCCCCTAACCGCCCTAACCCCTGAAACTCCCCAAAACTTCCCCACACCCCCAACCTCTAAACTCTCCTCAAACCTTGGACCCCAGTCTTGGCCGCGTCACAAGGGCAGCGCCAGTGCCTCCACAGACCCAGCCACCTCGAGGAGTATATAGGGCTTGGACGGCTTAGTGAAGATTCGTGAGGATTCGTATAAGGCTTCTACAGAGGCCCCCAGGCTTTTTTTTTTGGGCTGTGAATGTCTGGCCTCCAGGTCGGGAAGGTCGCCCGTGGTTTCGAAGGGTGCTTCCAAGCCGGTGAAAGCCAAGTCCAAGCGCAGAACTTGCAACTCCTTTGGATGGAAGTTCGGGTTTCGGGGTGGCCTTTTGCTTGAACCTCCATAGCTCGTATATGAGGCAGTTTAGGGTGTCGGGGTGCTGGAAAGGAAACTTGATCAGAATCAAGTTCATGCAGGCTTTCTGTTGGCTTTGAGGTTGAAAAGTTTACCTCGGGATCCCAATTTCACGGATATGGGTTGGTACGTACTGCGTGGGTGTCTTAGAGTAGAGC